AAATCTCAAGAAGGAAAAACAAATGGCATGCTTATCCATCTCACTTAGTGAAAGAGCTGCAGTTTGAAATTGTTCAAAATAGCAGGTACAAGGGCCAGGGAGATGGCTCAGTGGAATAAGCACTTCTCTGGCAAGTCCAAGGGCCTGAGTTCAATCCCCAGTTCCGCAAAAATAAATAAATAAATAAATAAATAAATAATCACCTCCCCTTAGCTCTGCAATGTGCCTCGAATCCTAGATAGATCTACCTTTAAAAAAAATAGCAGGTACAATGAATATTGTCACAAATTATGTTAATCTTTGAAATAGTGTGGGTGCTGAGTACTAGTAATATCAAAAATATGCTCAGGATTGTTCTGATATCTATATTTATAATAAAAATGTTGGGGGAAGGGTCAGTGAATTTCTGTGAAAAGCTGTTCCTGTGTGTTACATATAACAGATATGGTAAATATTTATTTATGGTCTTTGTTAAATAAACCATGCATTTAAGTTCAGGAGAAATCAACAAAAGGAAATAGGTATATGGATATGTGATTTTGAGATTAATCTTAAAATGTAAATAAAATGTAGAACATGTCCAAAAAAAGAAAAGAAAACAATGCCCAGCATCCATGCCAGTCCAAGGGAGCTTACAGGGTGAGGACCTGCATATCTGTATTTTTAAAAACTTCTATTAGTAACCACATGAGCACAAGCTTGTAGTCTCAGCTACTTGGAAAGATAAGGCAGAGGACTGCTTCAGCTCCTGAGTTTGAAGCTATCCTGGGGAACATAGTTCGACCCAGTCTCAAATGAAAGACTAAATCAGTCAGTGATTAAAAGCTCCCCAAATTTCTAGTTATTAGGAAAAACAGGAACATGCAAACTGCCCCCACGGAATGCAATCAGCAAAGCATGCAAAACTCACACAGCTGGGGCTGGGGAGATAGCTCAGCGGTCTAAGTGCCTCCTGGCAAGTGCAAAGACCTGGCTTTGATCCCCCGTACCACATGGGGTGCTGGCCCCTGCCAGGCCCAAGACCGGGTGTGGTGGCACACAACTGTAATCCCAGCACTGGGGAAGCTGAGACAGGAGAATCACTATGAGTCTGAACTTCATAGTGAGATCCTCTATCCAATAAATAAATAAATAAAAATTTAAAAAATACCACACAGCCCTGATGGCTCCTAAGCCCAAGCACTCAGAAGGTTGAGTCAGAAAGATCTCAAATTAGAGACCACCCTGGACTGCATAGAGAAGCCTCTGTGTAAAGAAGATAAAAGCTCCTCAGGTGCAGCTTGATGCTCCTCCAGGCTTGGCAGCAGTTACAGCCCAGCTTCACAGGATAAACTTGCTCACAGGAGCCACAAAGCCAGGCCGAGGGAGGCTGTCTATTCACATTCCAAGTACTATGAGGGCTCCAAGGTGCTGGGTACCTTTGAGCAGCATATTGGGTTTTTTTTCCCCCATAATTTTATTGAGAAACAAATTGGTAGGACAGTTTCAGTACTAAACACATGCATACAGTTAATTGCTGTACAAGATGCAGACATGATATCCTATTTACAAACACCATTAGAACAAATCCCTCTATTCATTAAGAGAATGTAACTATATATCTATTCTAACCACTTTGAATACACAGATACAAAATGGACATTCATCTGTATCCCCCTTTTTTGTTAAGTTCTGTTATTTGAATATTATAGGTGTGTAAACTCAGCAAAATATTCTAAAAGAGTCCAGTAGTCCATAATAGTATTGGGTCTTCTTCTTCACTGGCAGTGTCAGATATTGTTGACCTGAGTCCCCTACAGCTCAACATAACAGCATGGTTTTACTTCTTATAAGCATGTTGTATCTTGAGACAAGTGGGCCTGACCTTGAGGCTAACTGTGAAACCACACATGCTGCTGGGTGAGGGATGGCTCCCAGAATGCGGTGCCTCTAGAGCCCGCTCTTCTGCGTGCTTATGCCAGCTGGGTGTGCAGTGAGGTGGCAAAGTTTGAGCACCAACGTATGGCCAGCAAGGATGTCTAGAGAAATGGATGGGTGTGGGGCATTGGAGGACATTCCTGGTGACACTGGCTGGAAATGAAGGGATTTCTTGGAGGGGTGGGCATCACTGTGGTCCTCTGCCACAGCTCAGTTTTCTCACCTACAAAGTGAAGCTGGTGAGAAAAAAATAAAATAAATAAATAAATAAATAAAACTCCTTTATGAGCTGGATGAACACATGTTGAACTGGTAGCAAAGCTTGGGGTACACAGTCATTGACTGCTCTGCAGTCACCCTCATTGCTTATCCATGCTCCATGAAGGAAGAGGGATGTAGTCTCCCAGGTACCAAGGGCACTCTGTTCAATCCATGTCCCTTGCATGTTTTCTGTGTGTCGAGGCAAGGTGCCAGAGGTGAGAATAGAGAGGCCCAGGCCTCACAGAGTTCATTTGCCACCTCAGCATCAGATGATCACCACCCTTCTTGGTGGAGAGATTTCTTGGCCTGCCCGACTCCATAGCCCCACCAGTTGGAGGCTGAGGGTATAACACATGCCAAGTTCCCATGGTAGGGGACAGCTCATTTAGAGGGCAAGGAGTTGGTTCTATTTAGAAGCAGGCTTCTCAGGAACTGAAAGCCAAAAACATTGAATATAGCCAATGAACACTGAGAAGTCAAACAATTTCAGGTAAGAAAATGACTATGTTTTTGGCTTTGGTGCTGGAGATGGAGCCAAGGGCCTTGAAGGTGCTAAGTACTCTACCAGAGTCACATCACCACCTCTGACATGAGTTTTTAAAAACACATTATAGGAATAACCAGGCTTGCTAGAGCACACATGGAATCCCAGCATTCTGAGAGCTTGAAGCAGGAAAATTGCAAGTTTTAGTCCAGTCTGGGCAACTTAACAAAACACTTTTTCAAAAACTGGGGTGGGGACAGGGCTGGCCAGATAGCTCAACAGATTAAAGCTCCTGTTTAGGCAGATGCAGGTTCAATCCCCAATGTGCTGTGCTGGCCCCGCCCCCAGGGTACCCGGAGACTGAGAATGAGAATGGGTGTGGTGGTGCATGCCTGTAATCCTAGCACTTGAGAGGTTGAAAAAAAGGAGGATCACTACAAGTCAGATCTGTGTAGTGAGACCCTATAGACCCTATATTAAATACAAAAAAAAATGTAGCAAGGGGAGAGGAGTATGCACTTGGAACTGTAGCTCTGTATGAAAACCATGGATTCAATTTCCAGAGAGAGAGATAGAGGGAGGGAGGGAGGGAAGGACAGCAAGAGAAAGAGAGGTAGGGAGGGAGAGAGAGGGAGAAGAAGAAAGAGAAACAATGCTTCTTCATAGGGAAGGGTCTAGAGACCAACATACCAAGAAAAAGGGAGAGATGGAAGCAGCCTTTACTGGGGAAGAGCCAGAAGAAACAGAAAAGAGACACGAAATGTTTTGAAGTTGAGCCAGCAGAAATTGGAAATGCCATGATGGGGAGCAGGGTAGGGAATGAGGAAGTATGAGACAACACTCTGAGGTTCTCTGTCTCTACCTTGCTTCCAAATCTGCCTGCTGCCAGAATATCATAACCTCTGCCCTCAGACTATGGGAGGCTGAGAGGGCTCTAAGACAAGATTTTACCAATGTTTTCTTTTCCTGTAAGTGGCAAGGCACAGAGATGACCTTGGATGAGGTTAAGAGGCAAACACCCCACCTTGTTAGCTAGAACCTGCTTTCCACTTGAACATGAGTGTTTAGATTCCCCTCAGTCTGGGTGTGTTTGGTTTCTATGATTGGCTTTGTGTGGTTACCTCAAAGGCAATGTTTGACTGAAATTGGATGTTATGGAAAACTGTATTTTGTCACTAATCATTTTGTGTTTTGGGTTTTGTTTTTTGTTCTCTTGCCCAAGGCTTCATACAAATTAGACAAGAACTCTACCACTAAGTCATATCCCCACCCTTTCTATTTTATTTTGACATAGGGTCTTTATGTTGCTCAGGAAGCCCTTGAGCTTGCAATTCTCCTGCCTCAGCCTCCCAAAAGGCCATAATTACAAGCATGCACCACCACACACAGCTTCCACAGACACAGTGCCTTAGCATAGCCTAATTCTCTATTGGGCTAGAGTTTCCCCCAGGTCCTGAGTTATGAGACATTCAGCCCCTGGAGAAAAGTTTAAAAGCCTCAAAAAACAAAAACTAAATTCCCCCACCCACTTCTCTACCAGCAGCTACTATTTTTTCATTCCTGTCTATCTCTTCCTTGTTCTTTGTACCCCCACTTCCTGCAAGCTATCTATCAGGAGTGGAACAGACATGCTGTTTACCACTAAACCCACATCTTTAACCTAGAAACCATAAAATTCAAGAATTTCTCCATCTCGTTAGCAAGAGAAGACAGGGTGGGGGTTGCTGACCAGTTATGGGTGAGAGTCAGATCTATCTTGGGGTGCATAAACCACCCAGGGCCAGGATACAGCCTGGTGTCATCTGAAGTGGATTCCTAAGGCACTCAGTCTCTGCAATGGGCCTACTCAGAGAACCCTCCAACTACAGTAGGCAAGGAGCTGGCTTACTCCTGGCACAGTGCTGTAGATTGCTCTTCCTCCAAGACAGCATGTACTAGGCAACCACAAATGCACAATTCCTAAATACATACAAGCTGGAAACCCTCCCTCCTGTGTAGCTCATTTTCTTTTTAGAGGGTTGTCTTGCCTCTCCAAGTTCTCATGCACAGGTCTTGCAGCTTCAAGATTCAGAGCAGAGTCTTGAGAAGCTGAGGGGCAAGAGTAGCAAATAGGAAAGAACCACAGGATGAGTTTGGACACAGCTCCCAAAGCTTCTCAGTGGCAGCTGAATGAGTGCGTATGTATCCATGTATGTATATGTACATGCATTGGAGGGTTCCTGGAGGAAGCTGTGGGAGATGAGGCCCCAGCCTAGAAATGGGGTGGGGCCTACCAGTCAGGGAAGGGAACTAAACCCTTGAGGTTACTGTAAGAGCTAACTAAAGCCAAAAGATCCACAAGTTAAGGCAGGGGTACTTACAGAACCCAGTGCCTAGGCCTTTCCTTAAGATCCATACATCTGACCTGGCTTCCACACTGAGGTAGGAGCATTCCTGGCAATTGGGTCAGCCTGCAGTCCCTGGAGGAAGGAGCTGGGGTGGGGCTCTGCTGTGCTGGAAATTACTGCCTTTCCTTTCACCCAAATAGCTGGTAGAGTTCCTGCTTTACCAAGTGAGCATTCCCAGGCCCTCTCTAGATGCTGCTGCAGTTCTCATCCTGACTATTCCTTCAAGAGAGTCCTAGGCAGATAGAGTGCTTCTGAGGGAGCCTTTTCCTGAGGCTGATGTGGATTCATGAGGGAGGGTCCCCATGCCGTCCCCATTTGCTGGTTGGAGTCCTCAAGAATGGACATGTGGCCATGCTAAAACAGGAAAGAATAAAGTCAGGATCCAAGGGTCCCTTCCCAAATCTAAACTCCAGGAGGTTAACTCATTTCCTGAGAATGTCTCCTCCCACCCTATCTGGCAATTCAGAGAAATCCAATAGTTCAGAGACACGTGTAGCCCTCAGGCTGTAGGAAGCGCAGGACGTGATGTGGTCTGCAAAGGTCTCAGGGTCTGAGGCTATGCTGTGGGAGAAGCAGCCTCGGGCTCCCTGGGAGGGCAACCCCTAGAGGCAGCGGGAGAGTCAACAGTACACACACAGCCGCTCCCGCCGTTGGCCCGCCCAGACTGCAGGGGGCGCCCTTTGGGGGGAGTGGCGGGAAGGCCGTAGCGCCCCCTGGCGACGGCTGCGTGACTTTGCGACACTTCACAACTTTGCAGCACTCCACGTGGCCTTCACAGGGATCCTGTAATAACATCAGTCTCTCCTCAAGGCAGCACTGCTGAGTGGCTTGAATTGAGGGTAAGGACTCTGTTGTCGCCTTCTGCGTCTCCCAGGCTCGCCTTCTGCCTCTCTCCTCGGCTCACCGCCTCATTCCTTCCCAACATGGCGTCCGTGAGCTTCGAAGGGCCTCGCGCACTCTGCCAGTGGCTTCAGATGTGCTCGCTGTTCCTGCTAGCGCTGCTGCTACAGCCCGTAACCCGCGCCCAAGCCACACCCAGCACCCTCAGCACCGAGACCACTCCGGACACCCCAGGCCCTGAGATCACACCGGTCACCGTCAGTGGCCAAGGGCTTCGTGAGCGCGCGCGCGCCCTGATGCGGGACTTCCCGCTGGTGGACGGGTATGTAGGTGCCTCGTGAGGCCCAGAGGGCAGGGCCTACCTCGGGCAGAAGAGGGTTCCAAGTATGCGTCCAGGTGGCACCTTTACAGCAGCCTTCCCCAGCTGTAGCACGGGCTCTGGTGTGGGAACCCTCCCAGGGCCGGGCCACACCGCATACTGTCTACATGGCGGTGTGCAGTGGGGGGCGGGGGGGGGGGCAGGGATAGGTCTTGCCCGACCTGGAAGCCTAAAGGGCCCATCCATTTGATTTGTCCTTGATCTTTACCCTGTCATGACATTCTCCTAGCCACAATGACCTGCCCCTGGTCCTGAGGCAGTTGTACCAGGACTCATTACAGAAAGTCAACCTGCGCAATTTCAGCCATGGCCAGACCAGCTTGAACAGACTTAGAGATGGCCTCGTGGGTGCTCAGGTACCGCAGGAACACACAGGGTGCCACAGCATGGCTGTTGGGGGCTGTTGGGAAGAAAAAGGGGCCTAGAGATTCCGGGTTAACCACTGGGAACTCACGTACCATAATAATGCCCCCAGAAGATGCTGAAACAGCAAAGGCTGATGTGAGGTGGCTTGGGAAGCAGAACAGTACTACACAGCAAGCAATGCTTTCCGTGTGGCCTACAGGCCCACTGGGGGCTGTGGCAGCTGTGGAGGCCCCAGGAGTTCTGCCAGGCCAACCCCTGACTTTCCTCCCAGTTCTGGTCAGCCTACGTGCCATGCCAGACCCAGAACCGGGATGTTGTGCGCCTCACGTTGGAGCAGATCAACCTCATCCACCGTATGTGTGCCTCCTACTCTGAACTGGAGCTGGTGACCTCAGCAGAAGGTTAGTGGATTGATGAGAGGTGTTAGGGACTTGATTGAGGTACTCTGGCTCCTGAAAGTAATCATCTAACCCACTTGTTCTCAGCTCTGAACAGCACCCAGAAATTGGCCTGCCTCATTGGTGTGGAGGGCGGCCACTCACTGGATAATAGCCTCTCTGTCCTGAGAACCTTCTATGTGCTGGGAGTGCGCTACCTCACACTCACTCACACGTGCAACACACCCTGGTGAGTAAGTCCAGATGGTGTGGTCCCATCAGGACAGGGATCTATCCAAAATCACAACACAGGCCCACATGAAGTTTTAACTCTAAGAGCTGGCACTGACCCTAGAATGAGAAGGGGGTTGGTGTTCTGGGGTTCACAGGCCAGCACTGAATCCTGCAGTGCCCTCCCTTTGTGAGGCACAACTCACCTTGCTTTTGCTCTGCGGGCTGTAGGGCTTGATAGGACCTCTAGGGCCCTGTGGCCAAGGCAGGGCCACCAGTCAGAACTGATCATCAAGCTTCTTGGCCATTCTATAGGGCAGAGAGCTCATCTAAGGATGTACACCTCTTCTACAGCAATGTCAATGGGCTGACCAGTTTTGGGGAGGTAAGGACCCTGCTTCATACTCCACCTCACAAGAATGCTCATGCTCCACCTCTCCCTGCAGATGTGTACATATACATCCCTGTCAGCTTCCTCCTTAATTGTCCCTGCAGAAGGTGGTGACAGAAATGAATCGCTTGGGCATGATGATAGACTTGTCTCATGTCTCTGATGCTACGGCACGGCGGGCCTTGGAAGTGTCCCAGGCACCTGTGATTTTCTCCCACTCAGCTGCCCGGGGTGTATGCAACCACACTCGGAATGTTCCTGATGACATCCTGCAACTTCTGGTGAGAAACTGCCCAGCCTTGGGACGTAAAGCAAGCATTTCAGACTTGACCTTCTGTCCTACAAACCCACAGTGCACAACCTTTGAACTCTTGAACCCAGTGGGTGTGGGAAAGATGGTTACAGATGGGAAATATTTTTCTACTCCTCAAACCCAAAGCTAAGACCCCTCTACCCAAGCCAAGACTGGGACTCACCTGTCATATGAACTCAGAGAAGTAAAGTCTCTCCTGCCTCCCAAAATCAGGGCTGAACATCTTCCTCCCGTGGGTCTCAGGGATGGACAGACTCATGGTTGTTCAAGGAGCTAAAAAGTATGTTCATTTGACTCTTCCTGCAGGAGAAGAATGGTGGCATTGTGATGGTGTCCTTGTCTGTAGGGGTGCTGCAGTGCAACGTGATGGCCAATGTGTCCACTGTAGCAGGTGAGCCTGCCCCAGGCCTCTGTGCTTGCTAAACAGCTCTGCTATGGACCTGAAGTCTTGGGTGGATGTGGGGCAGGGGTGCCAGCATAGCTCCAGTGGTCTGACCAAAAATCCATGATGTGTGGGGCTGGTGAGATGGCTCAGTGGTCTAAAGCACCTACTTAGAACAAGCTTAGCAAAGCCTAGGGACCGCGGTTCAATCCCCCAGCACCACATGCCAGCCAGCCCGCCCCCTGGTGGGCTGAGCTGGCCACACACACACACACACACACACACACACACAAATAAATAAATAAATAAAATTAAAAAAAAATCCATGATGTGCAGTTCACTGCTCGTTGGTGCTACATGGAACAGAGCCATAGAGTCTACACTGCCATGCATCTGTTGGGCATACCGAAGGGTGCTGGACATAGAACTGAGTGCTGAGCCTGTACACTCCTGAGGGGCCTACCTGCCTTGCCTTAAATCTCCAGGGTTTTTTTGTTTGATTTTTTGGTACTGGGGATCAAACTCAGGGACCTTGAGCTTTCCAGGCAGGCACTTACGTTGCTGAGCTGTCTTCCCGACCCTGAAGTCTTTGTAGCCCATGGGAGGAAATGACGTCAAGTCACTGTCATTTCAAATGGATTCCTCCAAACTTAAGGTCTAGTCCAAAGCCAGTTGGAATCAGTTAAAGACAAACCTCAGGGACTTCAGGGGGCCACATAGGACTCAGGCCCTGAAGGAATTGGCCTGCAGGGTACAAGCAGAGTCCAGATCCAGAGTACTCTTGCTCCAGAAGCCCCACACTACTCTGCTTCTCCCAGATCACTTTGACCACATCAAGGCAGTTATCGGGTCCAAGTTCATCGGGATTGGTGGAGATTATGATGGCACCAGCCAGTGAGTACTGCCTGAAAACCCTGGGGCCTTCCCAGTCACCACCCAGCCTCCCATGGTCTCATGGCCTTGAGGCCTTCCTTACCCACCCAGCATGTCCCACTCCCAGGGTCTGTCTCCTGCAATCTCCTGCCTTCAGCCCAGTGTCCCTGGTCTAAGGCATCATATGTGGCCAAGCCACCAGACAAGTCATCTATGCAATGCATGCACCCATCCCAACCCCAGCAGACCTGCTCCCTCTGAGCAGACTGCCAACAAGGCCTGGTGTGGCCTGACCATCTTCTGTGCCCAGTTCTGAAGGTGGAAGGCATTTGCATTCAGCAAAAGGTATAGATCTTAAATGTGCAGTTCATTGCTGGGTGTGATAGTACACACCTATAATCCTAGCAAAGGCTGACGCAGGAGAATCACCTTGTGTTCAAGGCCAAGCCTGAATGGCATAGTGAGTGAGACCCTGCCTCAAAAAAAAAAAAAAAAAAGTGCAGTTCAGTGACATTTAGCAAATATCCAAGGAGGTTTGGGGCCAATTCTGAAGGGTGCAGAGCAGAAGCAAATCAATTGCTGTCTCCAGGTCTCCAGTTCGCACATCTGACCAGGTCTGGGGTTCTGAGTTGGCATTCAGATGAATGCCAACTCAGAACTGCCTGCTGGTGGCCACACAGGTTCCCTCGGGGGCTGGAGGATGTGTCCACCTACCCCGTGCTGATAGAGGAGCTGCTGAGTCGGGGCTGGAGTGAGGAAGAGCTTCAAGGTGTCCTTCGAGAAAACCTGCTTAGGGTCTTCAGGCGAGTGGAGCAGGTACGTTGAGCTGGGCAAGACAGTGGTGCAGCAATCTAAGGGGGTACATTGGGGCTCCAGGTGAGCTGCTGACCATCAAATGCCACTTCCAGGTGCGGGAGGAGAACACGTGGCAGAGCCCCCTGGAAGACATGATCCCAGAAGAACAGCTGAACAGGGCAAGTTGTCACTCTGTCCGCCCACAACAGCACCAGAAACAACTAGCTGCAGACCAGACTCCAACCAAGATACCATCACTTCAGGGACCCACATTATCTCACAAGTGGTCATTTTCAAAATCTTCCCCTAGCCTGGTCTCAGGCCTCACAGTGGCTAGCATATTCCCAGTTCTTATCCTGTGGCTGTGATAACTCAGCCCTGCCAGATGTCACTTTGACAGCCCTGGATACCCCACAAAGGCCCCCTCCTTGTGCAGATATAAATATTTCCTGGAAATAAATGTTTTGGACATGTAAGGAGGTACAGTTGTATTTTTCTGTGGTGTGGTCAAGTAGTGCAGGTTTTTCATGCTGCTGGCCAGTGAGGAGCCTGACATTTCAGCCACCAGTTGTTGGGAAAGGCCTGTTGGCAGCAGCCTGAGACACTCCCAGGGGCTGAGTGAAGCACTGGATGAACATAGTGGGTGACCTGGCTGCAGGAGGACTGGCCCTGCCTAGGAGTACCCTGAGTGACTTATTTTGGTCCCAGGCTGAGCCGCTGACTGCCACCTGGGGCTGTCCCAGGAAGCCTGTCAGCAGCATGAATGGCCTTCATTTCTCCAGGAAAGAGCCCAGGACAACACACCATATAACAGGTCATGTCCTGGCCCCCTACCCCTCAGGGACTTTGCAACAAGCACAAGCTACTTGGGAATCTACCCCATCATACCCCCAAGGCCTTACTGGTAACTGATAGCAATCACAATAATAATAGCTAATATTAAGGGCTAATCGGTAATAGCTAATAAAAATAATGGTTAGGGCTGGCCAGATAGCTCAGCAGACTAAAGCACTTGCTTAGGCAGAGCACAGAAGCTGGGATTTGATCCCAGCATGCCAAGCTGACCCAACCCTGGAACACACTGAGACAGTGACTTGAGACTGGGTATGGTGGTGAATTCCTGCGCTTGGGAAGCTGAAAACAGGAGGATCACTGTGAGTCCAGTCTATATAGTGAGACCCTGTAGACCCTGTAGATCCTGTACCAAATAGATTAAAAAGAAAATGGTTAATACTCAGTCTCTGCAAGCCTTGTGACTGAGCAGGTTCACTTTTTTCCCCAGCAAGAATGCACACATACATTCCCTAAAAGGCATATGAAATAATTTATAGCAACACTATTCATAATGGTAACTCAACCTTCAGATCCCAAACTATTCCTCAGAGTCAGATTTCTGAGGAGCCAAAGATTATCTTAAAAGTAAACTTAAAAAAAAATCACTGGCTAGGTATGGTGGTGCACACCTGTAATCCTAGCACTCAGGAGACTGAGGCAGGAGGATCGTTGCAAGTTCAAGGCCAGCCTGGGGTACAAAGTGACTTCAAGGCCAGGCTGAACTGCAGAGCAAAACCCTGTCTCAAAAAGACCCCCCCAAAAAAAATCACAACTTAAGAAGGAAAAACAAAAACAATAGCTGAATCATCAAAAGAAATGAAACGAAATACTGGAAGCCCACGCCAATACAGTATCTTTAATCGATTGAAAGTAACTGCCAATGTTGAGTGATGTATGAAGTAAACAATCTAGTGAAAGATCTAAGTGCTTGCCTGGCAAGCACAAGGGCCTGAGTTCAATCCCTGGTTCTGCTAACACGGGGGTGGGGGGGGGAGAGGAAAAGACTGGTGGCGTTCATCTATAATCCCAGAACTTTGGAAGGCTGAAACAGGAGAATCACAAGTTCTAGGCCATCTTTGGCAATTTAGTCATTTAGAGAAGCTATGTCTCAAAAAAGAGGGACAGGAATATAGGTCATTCAATGTGAAAGCTCTGAGTTCAGTCTCCAAGCAGGAAAATAAAAACATTTTTCTGGGCTGGGAAGATAGCTCGGCAGCCTAAGCACCTGCCTGGCAAGCGAAAGAATCCAGGTTTGATCCCCAGTACCACATGCCATGCCAACCCTGCACCATGCCAGCCATTGAAATGAAGAAAGAAAGAAAGATCCACCACATTACAGTTGGTGCACACCTGTAAACCCAGTGCTGGGGAGGGTGAGGCAGGAGGATCACTGTGAGTCTGAGCTGCATAGCAAGACCCTATACCAAATAAATAGATTTTTAAATAAATGTTTTTTCTGACCAACAAAAACAGAGAAAAAATTACAAATGTAGAAATGGTCTAAAGATAAAATATCAGTTCTTTTTAAAAAGCATGTATCAAATAGAAATTAAGATTATACCCGTGTTATGTGCTATTTTAATCAGTGTTATCATTGGCCAAGTTGTTACCCCTGTATGCTGTGTTTGTCTCGTGTTTATTTTGTCCAGAAAGTATTGTTAAAGCTTTAAGTAGACACATCTGGCAAACCTTGGAGAGAGAATGCCAATTGTCTTGACTGAAACAACAGCTCGCCTCTTCTCTGTTCAGTTACTTAAAGCAATAAATCATTTGAGTTTAAAAAAAAAAAAAAAAGATTATAGATGCTTTAGTTTCATTTTGTTGTGTTTTTATTTTTGCAACAGGGTCTCACTATGTAGTCCACGCTAGCCTCGAACTCACAGTGATTCTCCTCCTTCAACCTCCCGTGCTGGGATTATGAATGTGCACTACCATAGCCCGCCCTAATTTTTTTTTTTTTCAGAACTGAGGATTGAACTCAGGCCCTTGCACTTGCCAGGCAAGCATTTATTCTACTGAGCATCTCCCCAGCCTGCTAATTTCAAATTTAAAATAGAGGTATATGTATTAAAGCGAAGTGTTTTCAGATTTTTAACCAGAGAAAAGAAATGCTGTGAATACAGCTACTTTGTCAATAGCAGCTACTGACTTGGCTCTTAAATTTGCTGAAATGTTAGGTCTTATAGAAATGTAAAGCTATTTACTGAAATGGCTTTAATTAAATACATGACATCAATATTTATATTATAAAATGAGCATTGTAGGGTCAGGGAGATAGCTCAGTGGTTTAAGCACTTGCCTGGCAAGCACAATATATATATATAAATAATATTTTTTTTCCAGTACTAGGGAATAAACCCAGGGCCTTTACATTGAGCTACATCTCCATCTCTTTATTTTGAGGTAGTGTTTTCTGCTGTTTGTTTGTTTGTTTGTTTGTTTGTTTGTTGAGACAGTGTCTTAGAGTGGTTACACTGCCTAGGCTGGGCTTGAGCTTGCCTCCTGCCTGAGCCTCCCAGACTTCAAGGATTACAGATATGTAACACCACATCAATCATGTATTTGGATCTTCTAAACTTGATTCATGAATTTTGTTTTGTAGAATCTCATCAAAATTTGGAAATGGTCTTGAGAAGCTTTTTTTTTTTTTTTTTTTCGGAACTGGGGATTGAACTCAGATCCTTGCGTTTGCCAGTCAAGCGCTTGTCCTTCTGAGCCATCTCCCTGGCCCCAGATTTTTTTTTTTTTTCAGAACCAGGGATTGAACTCTGGCCCTTCCACTTGCCTTGGAAGTGCTTATTCCACTGAGCCATCCCCCCAGCCCTTGAGAAGATTTTTAACAATACCATTTACACTGGCATTCTTTAAAAGAAGTTTCAATAAACTGAAATTATTTCAAAATTACTTAAAGAGCTGAGAATGCAGCTCAGGGGTCAGGGATATAGCTCAGTGGCACAGTGCCTTCCTGTCAAGTGCAAGGTCCTCAGTTTAATTCCAAGTACCAAAATTTTAAAAAATAAGTACTCTGTAGAATGCAGCTCAGTGATAGCTCAGCATTCAGAAGGATTTTGTTCCATTCCCAGCACCAGAAAACACATAAAATAAAAATTACTTAAGATTCCTGTAGCACTTGAAGTGCCAGGAATAGTTGTGCATGTCTATAATCCTAGCACTCAGGAGGCTGAGGCAGGAGCATTGCCATAAATTCAAGGCCAGCCTGGGCTAAATGGTGAGTTCAAGGGCAACCTGAACTTCATTACAAGACCCTGTCTCAAGAAAAAAAAAAAGAGGAAGAGGAAGAGGAGGAAAAGAAAAGAAAGGAAAAAAGGCAGCCCATTTAGAGTTGGGCACAGTGGGGCATTCCTCTAATCCCAGCAGGAGGCTCCAAAATTAAAGTCTTACCTGGGCAACTCAACAAGACTTGTCTCAAGAAGTAGTAAGAACTGTGGATGTAGTTCTGTAGTGGAGCATGCCTGCGTTCAATCCCTAGAAGGAAGGAAGGAAGGAAGGAAGGAAGGAAGGAAGGAGGGAGGGAGGGAGGGAGGGAGGGAG